GTTTGTAACGATCAATCGTGTAATCAAACAACAAGGACTCTCTCTTTATTTTTTGCTGTCTTTCCTTTCCAGAGATCTGCGGAATTCATGTCGTAACAATATTCACAAGAACCTCATCAGCAACATGATACTCTTCAACATCACCTTCATATTTGGAATCGATGCGAAAGATAATGTACGTTTACAACGTCTAATATATTTGTATTAGTACATTCAAATTAGGTTTTGCTGCGTATCACCGTAAAAACAATACAAACCAATAGATACATAGTAGTAATAGTGCTCGAATAGGAACAAGATGTTGGTATCAATTAGCTCCACTATGTGAGCTATGTTCGATACGATTACATATAACTCTTGTTTCAATTCGAGCACTGTTATTATTATTATTAAAGATGCTTTAATCGGATTTGAATTCCTAACAAAGCCTTAATGGCCTAGTCGGTTAAGGTGGCTGTATAGACAGCAAAAGGTCCCGGGTTTTTTTTATCCAGGTTAGGGCACCTATTTTTTCACACTCGCAGATTCCTTTCTAACGTTTTAAAAAGTATTTATGTATATTTACAACATAACCGATGGTTAAAAAGATGGTTCATTTCATATATATATGTATATATATATATATATATAGAACTATATACTACCATAAGGGGAAACCTTAACAATGGAAAGGGTTAGAAATAATACCTTAAGGCGAAAATACTGCCGCTAAGGGGAAATTTTAACGACATTAAGGCGAAATATAGACAAAGGCTTTTTCTCCCTATGTGTCAGTTAGGAGTATATATTTGGGATGGCTATATGACTTGCTTAAATCAGACCACAGTTTGTTAGATTTCATGGCACTCTGTCAAATGAAAGAGTAATTAATGTTGGATTACCGCAGGGTTATGTAAGCTCACCAGTCTTATATTCCCTTTTTACAGCCTATTTTAGGTCTAAATCTAATACATGCTCTGTTGTTAAATATGCAGACGACACTGTCCTGAGAGGTTATATCACAAATGCAGATGAGACTAGTTACAGGGATATGATCGCTGATTTTGTTAAAGGGTGTAAAGATAACAATTTGGAATTAAATGTTAGTAAAACAAAGGAAATGTTAATAGACTACAGGAAAAAAAGGTGACTGTTTTAATACTATTGTCATCAATGGCAAAGAAATTATTATTTTTTTTGTTATGGTTGAGGAATACACATATTTGGGATGTGTCATAGACCACAAGCTCTCATGGAAGTTAAATACAGACAAACTTGTCAACAAATGTTCTCAGAGAATGTACGTATTCCGTAATATGATATTGATGCTACGATCATGAAACTATTTTATACCCCTTGATCCAAAGTGTGTTAACATACAATACTGTCTGATTTGCAACTATGGTTATTTAAAAAAGAAAAACACAGGTTAGATCGCATTAATAGAAAGGCTTCAAATCTGATAGGCGATGGTTTAGTTCAGTTAAAAGAACTTTATAAGGGCCGAGATATTAAAGCCGCCATGAGCATCATGAGTGATACCACTCATCCCCTAAATGAACAGTTTGTTCTTACAGTGCACACAGTTATAGACTTTGTGTCCCAACAAAAACAAATCGTTCCCGATATGCATTTTTAGCCAATTCCATCCGTCTAATTAATTCCCTGGCCAAAAGATAGTTGTATGGTAGCGTTCGTTTTAGTGCAATCGCTGGTGAAGGTCTGAAATAATTATTTAAATAATTATTTTATACCTCCAGTATTCTTCTTAATGCATTGTTTTTTATATGTATTTTGTATATAAATTTGTGCTCTCTTGTACATATTAATTTATTAAACTTTTTATTTTTATAATGACTATAATTATAATACAATAATAAAATTTATTTTAACTTTCAATGCTTTAGTGATTTTAAATGTTAGTTCAGTTAAATGATAATGATAATTATAATGTATGGTATAACTTCTTAATGTACTGTTTTTTTTATAAATGTATTTTGTACTGTATATGAATTTGATTTCTTTTGTACATATTAATATATTAAATTTTTATATTTTTTAATAAAATGAAATAGTAATAGTTATACTGTAATAATGGTGATAATAGTAATAATAATAATAATAATAATAATAATAATAATAATAATAATAATAATAATAATAATAATAATAATAATATTTATTTATTTTTTAATGCTGTTGCGATTTTAAATTTTTGTTCAGTTAAATGAAACGGTTTTCTTAATGTATTGCTATGTATTTTGTGCTGTATATCAATTTGATTTCTTTTGTACATATTAATATATTAAATATTTATATCTTCTAATAAAATAAATTAGTAATAATTATACTGTAATAATGGTGATAATAGTAATAATTATAATAATAATAATAATAATATTTATTTATTTTTTAATGCTGTTGCGATTTTAAATTTTTGTTCAGTTAAATGAAACGGTTTTCTTAATGTATTGCTCTTCTTATATGTATTTTGTATCTTAAATTGATTCAATATTGATATATCATCATGTTCATATATTCGACCACTGTTATTTGTATTTATCTATTAATTGTTTCACACCAAACCTTATTTGAATAATATTAAATTATGATTTCTCATATTTCAATAATTGTTGAGTATGTTGTTTATACAGGTTACTATGTGCAAGGTGGTGGCAATTTTGTTACATTACCTACTGCTTACTTCTTTGTTGTGGATGATGTCTGAGGCAGTCTACTTGTATTACAAGGTAATCAGGATATCACCTATAAAAGGAAACACCCTTGCCACATATATGGGCATCTGCTATTTGCTGCCATTGGTTATCGTTGTGCCAGTAGCCACCATCAACTTTGATACGATGTACGATATAGACAAGATGTAAGTTAAGCTTTTTTTTACTTTGTGGCCATCTGATTTTATTAGTGACGGATCCAGGAATTCGAAATAGAGGGGGTCCAGAGAGGAACTTTCACAGACGGAGGGTCAGAAAATTTATGATTATAGCATTTCATGGTCTATACTTGCAATCAATATTTATATCACCGACAAAAAAAAAAAAACATAACATATCCAGCGGTGGCGTCGAGGAGTGAAGCAGCCACCCTCTTCCCCACCCAAATCTGGGAGAAAAACACAATTAGTCGGGAAGAAGAAAAAAAAAATATATGTATTAGTAGAATCTAAAATCGATTAAATAAGCATTTGAAACCCCTATAATTTCCTGGGGATTCGCCCCCTGCATTATTTCCTAAAGATTTTGAGCATTTATAATCACTCTGCATAACGTATGCAGACTGACTTTGTTCGGGCATGACGAGTGAGTTTGCTACACCAGCTTCCAAATTTATTTATTTGGTGAATATTGTGTGCTGTGCCATCCAGCCAGACTGTTACCGGTACATACAATGGAAGACCACACAAATGTGAAAATAAAGATATATAACATAATCAACAAAAATAAAACGCAAAAATTACCTATAAAAATATTATTTAATGCTGAAAATGTAAACATTCTAATAACTATTCATGCCACGATTGGCTGACTTGCCGTATCATAGTTACATATACCAACCCCTCATTCACCTAGCTAACAATTCTAAAAATATACTATATTACTGTAACTAATAATTGATATACCTATACCTACATTTGTTTCTAATTTATACTGCTTTATATTGATATTTTGTTTTAAACTGATGTAGATGTTGGTTGTCCCAGGTAGGAAGATGGACTGTTGTGATCCCCTGCGCTTTAATCGTCATGGTAAAGTTAAAAATAATTGATATTTTATTCACTGTAGTGATAGAAATGAACACTGTTAAATTATATATAAATCATCAAAGAAAGGTAAATACATTTACAGTGTTCGAATAAAGGACATAATAATACATCATGTAGCATAGCTCTCAACAAACCTGTAAATAAATGAATAAAGAAATTGTGTAATAAAATGCCTCTGGCGGGACTCGAACCTGCGACCTCTCGCTGTCAAGGCGAGCATCATAACCATATTTGATTATATGCAACCATTTGTTTCTAGCCGTCTATTGTGTAATGGAGTGTATCTGGTGGTATTTGAATCTGTTCAACCATGAAGCCTCCGTGGTCTAATCATGGACCTTATTAATAGGTCCATGGTCTAATGGTTATGACGCTCGCTTTGAGCGTTGAGACCGTGCCGATAGCACTTTCTATATGATAAACACAAAAAGAGAGCACAAACACAGAGAAAACTGGACTATAAGTATCGGAAAAGACTCGCATGGTTCAGCGCACCAGTTTAGCTGATTTACTCAGCTGCTTTTACTGGTTAAACAAGCCCTGACAAATAGACTAGGCCCTACCTGATCGACGAAACTTGTGATTAACAACAGAGTCGTGTCTAGGATCAAGTATTGACATGAGCGTAGTTTTCAGGGAGGTGGGAGTCCGGAAAACGCAAGTCTTACTTGGGGATGCTTACAAGCCACCCACCCCCTCCCCCCACAACACCCATTATGTCACAGATTAAGAAAAGAAACAATGAATAATTATTGGCTTTTAAAGTAAACCTTTCCAAAGTGTCAATAAAACTTAATCAAGGAAGACTTTTGACCAGAACCTTTTTATATTACAAATATTTGTAACGATATGACACAAATGTAATCTCCAATATGCTTATTTATTTTCAGTTTAACTTGATAGTGCTTGTAAGGATCTTGGTCATTGTACGTGAGCGGGCAAGTGGGCATAAGGTCAAGGGCAGAACGGTTAGGCAAGAGGAAAACAAACAAATGAAGTAGGCCTAAATTTAATTTAATAATTACTAGTATTACTTTTTTCGGAAGCGGTTGGCGTATCGCGGTCACTCAGACTGTCAACATGAGTCTGGGTTTGAAACCCTCGCTGTGCAAATCGCTTGTGTCCTTAGGCAAGACACTTTATGTACGTTTGTCTCTCTTGGCCCAGTGGCATGGGTACCTGCATATGCTGGAAAAGTAAAACAGACTTGTGCGGAAGGAGTGGCGAGCCCAGCACCCCCTTCCCCTTTCCACAACCTTGCACAATCTGGCCCAAAGGCCATACGAAATTGCCCAGCACAGAGCCTCGGACTTTATTTTTATCTTTAGTATTAGGCCTACCTTTATCGACGTCATCATTATTTCAATTACTATTAATAGTAATATTTTAATTTGTCGTCATCGTCGTTTGTTGTCATTATCATTATCATCACAACCCACCATCACTCAAATCAATCAACCAATCAATCGATCGATCGATTAATCAATCAATCAATCAATCAATCAATCAATCAATCAATCAATCAATCAATCAATCAATCAATCAATCAATCAATCAATCAATCAATCAATCAATCAATCAATCAATCAATCTCAATCAATCAATCAATCAATCAATCAATCAATCAATCAATCAATCAATCAATCAATCAATCAATCAATCAATCAATCAATCAATCAATCAATCAATCAATCAATCAATCAATCAATCAATCAATCAGCAGCAATAATAATTATAATGGCAGTAAGAATATAGGTCTATCTTTAAATATTTGGATGTTTTCCATTTGTAATAGGAAGACAGTGCAGGGTTGTATAACGTTGCAACCTATCCTTGGCCTGACGTGGATACTCGGTCCGTTCACTTCACATATCGTCATTGCTTATGTGTTCACTATTACCAGTGCGCTCCAAGGCTTTTTTATATTCATAGTTTATTGTGTCTATGATAAGGAGGTAAGCATAAAGAAATATCATTTAGTAAACCGAATGCATGGTAGTGACAGATCCAATTTAAAAGAGGTGCCCAGGAACGAACCTTTATTGATAAAAAACTTTTCACGACTATGCCAACTTTAAATGGCCGGTAATGGCACTCTCAGAATAAACTAAATTAATCGTAAGTTTACTTATCCTGCACTTTTTTATTTAAAAAAATTGGATGGGGACAATATATGTCCTCTACCAATCATCTAAATCCACTCTCTCTTTCCAAGTCCTGTTGAAACAAACTGGTTTTCACATCACAGATTGTAAAGCTTCAGTTAATTGTACTTAATAGTGATACCTATGGCTTCCTCAATCTTATTTGAAATACCTCTCCTAGTTGGAGAAAGTCATTAAAGTAATTCTTTCATCTGTGAGGGAATTGACATCCTTCTCATTAGTTATGGGGTCGATGATTCTCTGTTAATTTTCGTAACGAACATCTTTGAAAATCAACGAAAACAGAGAGGATTGACCAAAATTATTCCCACTCTCTACTCTTTCTCATGGTCTATCTCATGGCAGGATAGTTGATAAATACAGCAAAACACCTTTAAGGAACACGTTTTGGGACAAAAAAGGTGTTCTCTTAATACTAATATGGGTTGATCGTAGTGTTAAACAGATGTACTTCATGGCCGAAATAGTGTTCCCTTTATAAGGGTTTCCAAAGAAGGGCTACACCGTATTCAAGTGGTGGGCTAGGAACCCTGTGTAGTATCTTCCGTTTCTTTTTGCTCTCCGCCATCCGTCTAAAGAAAGGATGGATGTTGATCTTAATTTTTCACTTATCTAATTGTTTTTATACAAGGTGAAATCTGCCTGGAGAAAGTGGAAGAAAAATCAGCCCAAAAACAATGTGATCCACACTTCTAGCGGTACCCTACCGGTAAATGACCTTCAATTATATTATAATTTACCTTTATCACCACTATATTCAACGTCAATTTAGTTTTTATGGTTTTACGTATAATTTTAGTACGGTACCCTTAGATTCGTATCTACAGAGTTGCAGAACGGGGCAGGCGCATAACTGAGAAGCTACTAAAATGAGCCTGCACAAAAATTATATAGGGCTTCCAGATAAGTTCTTGTCACCATTACACCTCTGAGCATCCTCAGTTTTTCATCCAGTAATTGCATAAGGTACAGCGACTAGACCTCATTAGTTTGTATATATTATACGCTCTACTATGACATAAAAAAAAAACACTGCACAATTTTTTTTTCATATTATTCTGACCCCCTTGTTGTTTGTAATTCCTCTTCAGGATTTAGCAGAGCCGACTAAAGATACAATTGATGTGGTAAATATTTCTTTCAATAATTTTTAAACCAAAATTTATTCGTATGATTGAGCTTTTTTTTAAAATAATTTTCATTTAATGCATTTTTTCACGTAATACCCTATAATGAGTGAAGTTTAGTGCGGAAAAATGCTTCGGCTGAAATTCTGACATCATTTATAAGAACACACAAATCACAAAACCCGAGGAATACTAATACAAATATTTACATTTCTTTTGTCTATGATAACGGCTGAAAAAGAGAATTTGTTAAAATGCAGTGTTTGTTGGAAATGCCAATATATCTTTGACAAAGGTTAAACAACGCAAAGATGAATAGTTAGTCCTCAACTGACTTTCCAGTAGAGCCAATCAAACTTAACAACTGATCAATTAGAATATGTCATTTAGGGTCAGATGCTAGGAATTCCCCGACGAGGGGCCCAATTTTTTTTTATATTAAAAATAATAAACTTTTGTGTTAATTATGGGGTTCTTTATTTAAAAAGAATAATTTGATAGAAAACCATGCAAGTTAAGATTCCCCCGTCAGGGGGTACAAACCCCTGTTGGAGGTACTAGCCCCCTGTTTTTAATCTTTAAAGTTTGACAGCTTTGTAAATCAATTGAATTGTACTTTCGGCGCTCAAGATTTAATTTTTCTCCGACGACCTTGCTTGAAGTTCCCCGACGGGGATCCTTCGCTGCTCCCCCACCCCCGCTATCACAGACACACACACAAGTTTTCGTACATACGCTGTCATTTTGTGGGACTTCAGCAAACAACAATGTCCAAAGGGCGGAGATGAAAACATATTTTAGTATAGTACAGTACGTACTTTGTTTCTATAGATATGGTCCAGAGAAGTTTTTCTACAAGCCCAAGTCTAATTATAGTATACTACCAATCGTTATCATATCCACAATCAAAACCAGAATGACTACAATTGATTTTTAATCGTTTTTTACCATTCGCTGTGTGCATTTTTTAGGATATGAAAAAACAGCCCAAGGAAAAGAAAAGATCTAATTTGGTAAACTTATGTTGGATTATTATAATTCATAATTATCATGATTAAAGTTCAGATACTATAATCCCTATCATAAATTTCACAATCAAAATAAGAATGACTACAATTGATTTTTAATCATTTTTTTTACCATTCGCTATGTGCATTTTTAGGATATGAACGAACAATACAAGGAAAAGGAAAGATCTAATTTGGTAAACTTATGTTGGATTATTATAATTCATAATTATCATGATTAAAGTTCTGATATAATCCCTATCATGAATTCTACAATCAAAATAAGAATGACTACAATTGATTTTTAATCGTTTTTGTACCATTCGCTGTGTGCATTTTTAGGATATGAAAGAACAGCCCAAGAAAAAGAAAAGATCTAATTTGGTAAACTTATGTTGGATTATTTTATTTCATAATTATCATGATTAAAGTTCTGATATAATCCTTATCATGAATTCCACAATCAAAATAAGAATGACTACAATTGATTTTTAATCGTTTTTTAACCATTCGCTGTGTGCATTTTTTAGGATATGAAAGAACAGCCCAAGGAAAACAAAAGATCTAATTTGGTAAACTTATGTTGGATTATTATAATTCATCAATCAATTTTGCTATTATCATGATTAAAAACCTCACCATGGAATAGTTTCATGTCCTCACCAACTCATTTAGGATTTATCAATCATCATGATAATAATTATAATAATCACGAACATTTGTAATGTAAAAATCATGCACTTTTCATTCATCTTGTGATTATTGATGAAGTGAGTATATTAGGACTGCAACCGTGGTCATCTGTTATGTTATCACGATTTTCTGACACACTCCGTTTTATGCAATTTTTCCCCCAGGATACGAGGAAGGAAAGAAAAAATGAGTTGCTGGCTATGGCTGGTAAACCCGCTTGGCGGTAACTGGAGATGACCACTCAGCTAAATGCAAATGGTGCAGGTTGTTGATCCGAACGATCATAATAAATAATTGTACTGAACGTCAAGAAACAGACTGTCTCCATGTATTCAGAACGCAAGAGCCCTCTTACCATTGGTTCTCACAAACTGAGCAATGGAAGGTATTAACGGTTGCGCAAAAGTTCTGATCATTTTGTCCTAATGTGGGCCTGCGCCTACTTAAAAATAAGAGTTGTGGTAAAAGAAAAAACAAAAACAAAAAGAAAAAAAATACAAAAAACAGAAAAACCATAAATATAGATTATTAGCTTATTAAAATTTTATATTAGGCCTATCAATTATTTGATAGTTTTATATCTCTTTAATGTTCACATTATCGTTTGTTTTTTAGCACTTCCGATAAACTGGCCTTGTTTGTTTGAAATATGCATTTTTAGTTGCTTAATTATGTACTGATTAAGTGCATAATGGCGTTGTTTGGCACAATTGTTATCCATTTTGTAAAAATCTGATCGCACTTGTCAATGATTGTGTTTGTCTGTATAATGATTAGCTTTAGAATATTAAATCAGGTTCGTCAGTTCGGTAAATTGACACTGCTGTAAATAAAATTTATCGTGATATTGTGAGGCATCATGTTCAATGATAGACAAACGTTTGCAGGAACGATTTTAACGTATTTGTAGGCCCACAACATAATGTCTTTTTCATTAAAAGAATAATCGTGAAGCATAACACGTAAGGAGAACTGGTATGCTCAGCGATAACCATCACTAACTTACTTCAGAGGAACAATGGATAATATGGATGTAGGTAAAAATGGCCCCAATGATAAAATTCTGTATCAAAACTGATTTTTTGCTAAATTTATTATTTATTTTTGTTAAAACTGAAATAATTTAAGTTTTTCAAAAGAATCTAACATCAAATAAATTGCCATTTATATTTTAATTTTGGCAGGAATTACATATCTATAGAAAAAAAATTTCATGCATACCCGGTAACATTTTAAAATTTTCATTTTATTTTCCATTTTAATGTTGAAAAATAGCAATAATTTAATAAATAAATCAACATAAATCATGCATTTTTAATACTAAAATAATTTTAGTTGAGGCCAATTTCACGGAAGCGGAATCACATCCAGAAATTTTTAACTTCAATCTGGGTATTGCTAAACCCCGCAAAAATAGGCTATGAACATCAGATTAATATGAATTTTAATGGTATAAAAAGAGAGTCTCACACTCATAAGGGTTTGAATGGGGTTCGCGGTCTGTTTTTGAAGGTTTGAGGTGTATTTGCAGGAGGTATTTTTCACAAAAAATCAACAAATTAACCAAAAAATAGGTTATTATTGACAAGTGAGTCAATCGCAATTACATGGTTTTGTTTTCTACAATGTGTTTTGTGTGGTTTAGCAATACCAAGTTTAACCCTATCATAACCACCTTACCCTCATAAATACATGCCATCTAATAATTCTTAAAATAATTGCCATATTTACATACCGGTAACTATAGAAAATTTGAGTATATCTCAGTTTTAATTATTCAGTATATTTTTGAATTATACATTTTTGCTGTTTTAGAGCATTTAAATAGTTAAAAAAATTGATTAAAAAATCATTCTTATTACTTAATTTTATAATTGGGGCCATATTTACCAGGGCAATTTTTACCGCGGTCATTTTTACCGCACACCGGATAGTACAGTACTGTAGTAAAACAAACATACACTTGAACCAGCTTGCGGGAGGCTGTCTTAATATCCGGGAAACTCCCTCAAGACTTAGGACCACCGCTGAATCGATTAATTGTATCTAAAGGCCCTATATAATTCAGATTGAGTGTATGCCAACAGTTAACAACTTCAAAAAAATATGTTAAAAAGTGAAACCAACGGAAATAGAATCAAACCAGATTAACAAATACTGGTAGATGATAACATAATTAATGTCGAAATATTGAATCCGACACGATGGCATGCATTTCGATACTTGGAGTACGTATTATACTATCTTACCTGAGATTAATCAGTGGACCTTTCGGTAGTGGTACATTTGTATTTTTAAGTCAGTATTAGCATTCCTAACTTTACAAAAATATCCTAAAAACGTGAGACCCAATAAGGGTGCTTTAGTGAAAAATTCAAAATAGTACAAAGCAAAAACAACACTAATGTTATTTGTGTTTATTAAGTCTATCTGTACACCACGTTATGCTAAAATCTCATCATGCGTAGAATGTTTACACCATGTTATATTCTATCCAATCCTAGAATATTTAAAATAACTTGTGGGATTTTTTCAGCAAATTTGTAACAATTTGATAGTCTTTTCATAATTGTTGGTTATACCAGATATGCACTATGATCTAATGATGAAATACACATTGTACTGATGCAAGTATAAGCCCACTTCAGGTCCTTGCGACCAAAACTAACTTCTATGATTCTGAGCGGTTTTCGAACAAAAAAAAAAAAATTGAGATAAACATTTAAAAAAACAAATTTTAATAACAGAAAAAAAAAATTACTTGAGATAAAACATCAACAGTTTTAATATGAAGATTAATATATTGTGGGCTAATACTGTATCAATATTATAGATTTTTAAAATACAGTAACAATAGTAATGTTTAGCAAATAAAATTTGGACCGATGTGGGAATTACTGAATGAACGCTACAGTATGTCAACTAAGCTAACCCACAGTCGTTGACAATGTATCATAAATGAATGGTAACTGCTTAAATAATTAGTAGAGAAATAAATGTTCCACAGTAGACACTATCGAATCTGTAATGCAATTCATTTTGGAATTATTATATTATTATTATTACTATAGGGAACCCTTCATTGTACACTCTTCTTGCGACAGTGAGTTTTCCCACTTAACAGACAACGTTATGTTTATCTTTTGTGTCTACAGTAATAGAAAAAAAATTATTCAAATTTATTCAAATAAACACACCATGTCATCGTTGAGAAGAGTTTTGAGGTGGCGTTTATTCGACGGCGGCATTTATTCGATGGATTTTTTTTTTGGTGTGTGTAAAATGGATACGTATATATTCAAATTAATGTCCCTTAATTTCACTGTAAATGTGCAACTACAACATAATTACCACCAAAATGTGTTGCATGATCATAAAGACTTACTGATCCCAACCATGTTGGAATAAATTTAATTCCACTAAGTAGGACATCTATAGAATATTTTGATAATGATGCTACTTCTATTAGTTTTTTTTTACAGTAAAAAAAAAAGCTTTTTTTTACAGTAAAAAAAACTAATGGGGGGGGGGGGTTTATTCGAGGAACGGGCGTTTATTGAGGGAGCAGTTTAATTCAAACAAGGTTCTGGAAGGGGCGTTTATTCGAGTAAATATGATGATCAAATCGTCGCTCACATCACGAACTAACACAATCAAAGTAGATCGTTACTTCGTGAAATCACAGTAGCGCGTCAAAACGAGCGCGTATTGGTTGTCAAGTAATTTTGTATTCTTTACCACACAAAAAGTCTTTAACGACAGCAGCGCGTATTTTGATGCGCTTTTTTTTATTTCACGAACTAACACAATTGAATTTAATTGTGTTAGTTCGTGATGTGAGCGACGAAATAACCAATAGCTTTAATAAATTCATGCTATTGTTGAATGTTACGATGATGAATGATAAAGATGATAATGATGATCATTTGATGATAATGACGATCATGATCATGACGACGACGAAAATGATGTTAAATCTAAAATATAGTGATGATAGTAACATTGGTGATGTCTGTCAAAATCTCTACCATTTGTGTTGTTAATATTAACAATAAAACAATTATACTGTATAATTAAATAATAATAATAATAATAATAATAATAATACATCAACAATAATAAAAAAGGATACTTGATGCTTTACACTGAAACAATACAATAGAATAAAAGTAAATAAAGTAATAACATAGTTTCCGTAAAACGACCATTAAATATTTATTCTTTCATAAAATCATCTCCTTCATAAAAATTACATTTGGTATGTTCTGTATCTTCCGACTGAACACACAACATGACACAAAAAAATATTGTAATAAAAACAATAATAGAAAAACTAATGATAGATATAACAAACTACTCTAGAAGTGACGTTTTTCCTCAGTACTACAATAACTACTTTTACCATACTATTATGACTACCGTATAACTACTACTATTAATGCTATAAATTAAAAAGTGCTCTATTATACAGCAATAGCAATGTTCAATACTGTGAACTTTTATAGTATACTGAATTTCAACACCACAACCTTACAGTAAGACCAGTTAATGTAAACACCCTCTATCATCATTTGATGATAGTGGTTAGTAGGGGTTGATAGGGGCTAAGAACAGAGCGTTCACGTCTCGGCCCTGTTCCTTCCACCACTATGCATGAGAATATTAATGTCGAGTTTTTAGACCCAAATCGACATGGCTCTACAGAATATGATCTCGTGAATATACTTGAAAAGAAGAAATCTGTAGATTATGTTCGCCGATGAATCTAACAATGTGGTATCCAGAAGAGGACTTGAGAATAAAAATACGCGAAAGAAATGTATAATATGAGGACCAATATAGACATTTATATTTTCTAGCCGAAGGATGCTTGGAAAGTTCATAGGTCACTAATTGTAGCATTCATGCACAAATGTGCAACCTTCTCTAGTCCCTTGGTTGGAAGCGGGTAAGGGTACTTCAGTAATCTATCAGCACATGTTAAACTCTAAAAAGAAGAGATTTAATAGAGATGATGACAAACAACAGCTCAACATCCAATGTGACCTTCTAAGTGTTCAACCAAAAAGCTTACACTTGTGCAACATTGTTTCTAACAAATATAAAAAATCGTTCATGTTTCACATGATCAATCAGTCAGTGATTATTTATATCCTGTTCATACTGGCGCTAAATGACAGGCCTAATTCACAAATGTCGGATGATCAAAAGAACAATTACCTCTGTCAATAAGGAGATTTAATCTTGTTTTTATTAATTATTAAATATCTAGTCATGTCATTAGCTGAAGAAATTAGCTTATGATTTTTTTTATATCAACAAATTGAATTGCTGAAGATACCAAAGTCCTTTTACATTACATAACTATCTATCGAGGTACTTCACATCTCATTAATCACTGTATCTGTCAACACTTAATATAGCTTCCCCACACTTCCCCCAAAAATAAATATCCTTTCACACAGGAAACTTGTTCTTTAATGTTTACCATCTATTCACATTGACTACTCTACATTTCTGTTCACATGTTACTGCCAATACTAATCTGGTTAGACCAATTAATTACCAAAAACATTAATTAGACCAAATATTAAACAATTAATATATTTATAATTTATGTACAGAAGAGGATTTAAATTAAACATAAACTGAACAAAAACATAAATTGTTATTTCAATAATTAAAACTATTAAAAAAAATAAAAACTGCTGTTAAACTATGCCTGCAAAAAATGCATTCAATCTTTTTTAAAATAAATACTTTTTAATGATGTGTAGAATAATGTTTATACAAAATTATGTCTGTTTCTCTATAGTGAAGAGCATCTATATGCTTGATTATTAGGAGGGAAGCAGACTACAACCCAGCAAAGCCACACCACAGGGCATACAGCAGTTCATTACATATAGTGCTTTAGCATTTGTCATTTCAAATTTCAATAATCAGCTTTATGCACCAAACATATCCTTCCTTAAAATATTGTATTCAGTAACCAAAAGGCTGCCCTCTATTCTTAAAATACACCAAAGTAAGGAAGATTGCTTTAAGTTACTACTGTACAGATTTGAACACAGCATTTTATGTTCTTATTTATTTGTTAAATATACACAGACCAATACAATAGTTAACAAGAGTTTATGTTGACATGCCAAGCAGAAATCCACCTACAAACCCTCCAGACACTAAAACGTTCTTCCTTGCAAATTCTCGACTCTGAAATATGAAATTTAAAAAAATTAATATTTAAAGGAAAACAATAATTATTTTAAAAGTTGCAGTGATAATAAAACCATAGAAGCCATGTCATCATGGTAAATAATATTTATCTCAAGCACAGCCATCACAGAAGGGGAAGACAAGTATGTATACACATTGAACTGGCACTGATGGATTATTGTAGGTTTGTCATTATTTGTGTGAGGCCAAAGTTATACTGTATATTTTTGCAACTAGGTCATGTGCTATAGCGCCCTTTGGAGAATGAAATTATCCAATAAGCAATGACATACGCTGAGTTGAAATGTTGGTCTTTTTCCAATACACACGGTATAATTTCACTTTATGACAGCACAGTTAATATTTAATTATAAAGGTAATAGTTACAATGGCAAATGTTTGGAGTCCATAACATTATTCCTGTATATTATATTATAATTATACATTACACATTATAATGTATTTTGTTAATCAGCTTGACTTTAAACTGCATGGTTGTTCAATGAGGGCAGCAGAGGGGTTGTCATACCTGATCAAACATCTTATAATTTCAAGATAGTGTTCTTCGCGATTTCTGCCTGAAAATTCTGTAAAAACGTAGTGTAGGGTGCCCTCCCGCAATTACAATTACTTTTGAACTTTGACATCTATAATCTATGTGCAAGTTCTTAAACAATCACCATAGTAACAACTAGGACGCACTCTCTCAATTACAATTACTTCTTGCGCTTCCTTTTACTGAATATCGAAGCTTCTATTTGTTACATGCAGAATCACGAAGAACGCTATCATGTAATTATAAGATCTTTGTACCTGATGATAAACTTGATGGAAATAAGGATATTGACGGTTCATTTCTCTTGTTACTTTTCTCTTGGTGTGACCAATGTCTTTTTCAAACTTATCCCAGTCCACCTTGATGTAACCTCCATGATGAGCAAGCTGACAAAAAAAAAAAATAAATAAAATATAAAAAAGTTTCAAGATTCAATTATTTAATGCTACTTGAGTCATTGACTATCAATATAACAATTAAAAAAGAAAGGCCATCTTCTTTAAGCATGTTAAAGTAAGTATGAATCTCAAAAATTAAGAGCTGCCTTAATGTCTGAAGGGGTGATATTAACAGGATCGAGGGCCAAGTCGTAAGCTAGACTACGAGCATATGGCAAGAACGATGAATGATGATAGAAGGTTCAAGCTGGGATAGGAAGAATGGTGAGAATGACGCAAAGAAGTATATAGAGCATGAGCGACATTGGGGAAGGCAAGCATGTAATTCAGATCTGGGCTCTTGGCAATTTTTGAAAGGAAACGAATGATGAAGAATTTCTGCTTAAAGTTAAGCAATCTTGCTTGGCATGAGCTCTTTCTACTCACCAACATCAGAAGGAACCCTCCACCCACAGCTGTAGCTGCCAATCTTCCAACCTTCTGGAAGAGATGTCCAGCTAGCCTAGAGGTGTAAGGTGAAACAAAACATGTCAATGTCTTTGACTCCACAGTAGAATTAGACATTCCATGATACATGTCTTTAACAATGACTTAATTGTAGAATGGTACGTTCCATTAAGCATAAACTACAAAATCAAACTGATTGCCAACCTATTCACAATCATGCCTGCTTCCATTTAGACAGAATGGACATGGTGTCAGTTTCACCAAAAAAACAAAACAAACAGTGTTAATAAAATAGAAAACATCACACCAAGTTTGTTAACAGAATGCAAACCCAACGTACCATTTGTTTACCTGGATATGAATTAAAAAGGAACAAAATATGTGTTGAAAGTACTTTACAACTCACTTTTAATCATCAAGCAGGCATTTCTTGTGTACATTTACTGAATAGAGTTTACTGTCAAAATAGCCCAATTGTATTGTAATTTAGTAAACAAATCTTTTTAAAGTGGATTTTTGTCCATGTATTTTGTACGAAAAATTTTTTTTAGTAGATCTTTAAATTTAAAAATATAATATTAGCACCAAACAACACAAAAAGAAATGCAAAATACACTTACCACCCACTGACCCCTCCAAAGCCAATTTGCACCGGGGTTGACCTCTCCGTTATTGAACCGCCTAACAAATTCTGAATCCAGCCTTTATTTGCATGAACAAATTCAAGCATTTCAAATGGCTCTTCACTGTTATGTTTTTCATCTAATAACTCTATTATTTCTTCATCATCCTCTTCTTCCTCAACGGTAACATCTATCAAATGCAATTGAGTTAAATAAGGCTAGACAAAATTTATATATTGTTAAGTTTCGCAAACCTAAGCTAACTTAAGCCTACAATAGGCTTGTTACTCAAACCTAGGTTTATGGCCTATCTTAAAATGACAATGCATTATTGCTGGGGAAATTTTATGCAATTTTTATTTTCTCAAAAGAATATGTCGGTACTGTAGGACTAGGAATATTGTATTTCATTAAATAATTTAAAAAAGAAAAAAAAAGGCCAAACACTAAATTTCCTAGTTTCACTTTCCTGCCCTTATCAAATTTTGGTACCTCAAATTAATACCACTTCTGGAACTGTGGGTTTCCATGGTTTTTAGCAGCTTTGGTCTCTACTTAGAATAATAAAGATAAAAGACAAAAGAGTGGTCTTTAATGGGAGGGGCCTTTAAGTAGGTGGAGGAACTTTATTTGCTATTTGTTTCAAAACTTCAAAAAATGATTGATGTTGATGTAAAATGAAAACAAATTTGTGTTGCTTTCAACCATACATTTGCTGATTGTGCAATCAGTGGTTGAATTAAAAATACAGTAATAGACTTGTGTACCATAGTTTGAATCTTGTGGTATAGCGCTTTTTTTTTAGAGAAAATTTATTTTGAATCAAAACTACACAATTGAATTTATTTATTTTTAACCATACAATACATGTTTATTTTTTGTTTTTGTGCTTCTCTTTATTAAAATGGTGTATTATTGTGTGGACCAGTCTTCTGCTTGAGGAAAATCAGCAAATAAAACATAAATTATAGGCCTACCTAGGCCCGCCTACAGTAAACCCCCTCCCTTAAAAAAAAGGAAATTCTGAATGCAATGAGAAACTAAGCCTAGGCCTAGGGGTGTAGAGTCGTTTCGGCCCAAGTCCATTCGACCACGGGTCGTTTCGGCCTGAGTCGTTTTGGCCCAGGTCGTTTCGGCCCTGAGTTTGTATTTTTGTCATGCATTTAGGCCGCGGTGTATGGAGCGCCGAAGGTGTGGCCACGAATAATAATTTAATAGAACAAGGTGGCTAAGCAGTATACCGTTCATTGCATAGAGTTCATTGCAGTATCAAATGGTGTTATCTTTCTTTTTACAGAAACAACGCAAATGTTACAAGTTGATTGGTTTGGAGACACGTTTCTTTTTTTCGTTTCCATACGATATATAGGCCTATTTGGATCATGTTTATAAATGCTTCAATAAAATTTTAAAATAAGTAGGCTTATAGTTAATTTAGCGGATTAGTTTGTCATAAGTTTGTCAAAAGTTTACATTACCAAATATACTGAATGATGTGATAATGAAAATAAAGCAAATATATTATTGTATTCATTAGGCCGAAAAAAAATCACTCATTTCACAGAAATTAACTAAAGAAATTATTAACTACAGTGTAATTTGAGGAAAGAAACGTTTTCAACAATTAAGTTGAGGTGAAGCAGACACATGGTTTGTATCTTCTTGTTTGTTTTATTTCCATTGTCGATACATATTTTGATTAGGCATGTTTATAAAATACACAAATAAATGGAAATACTGTAGTAAAATATACCGTAGTTTAAATAAAATTTATAGATCTACAATGTTAATGGCTGTTTCAGGCTTCTTTTGATATTAAGTAAGCCGGAAATTTCACTCACAATTCCTATTGTTGCATGGAAACTATAAAAATCGGAAAGAATTGCCCACAAACAGGTTCCCACGGTACTCTTTAGGGTGAAGCAGACATCCTTTGTACGCCGCCTTCAGGAATGTGTGGGCGCACTACTGCCAAGAGTGAAGTAGGTCAGATGATAAAATTAGACTGGGTATATTTAGGTGCAAACACATGCCATGGCAGTGAATGTGTATGCGTGTGTTCATCTCTCGTCTATGGTTCCGATTAAAAATAAAATGTATTCCGACATTGTTGATCAATTTTTTCCCCTTTTTTAACTTCCTAAAAGGGTGACAGGGCTGAGGATGCCCCCGGTGCTGTGTAGGCTCGATCTCCCGCCCCCCTTCCCTTTTGACAGCTATGGATCCGCCCCCGATAGATCCATATTTGCGATTTGGATTAGGATGATGTACCGTTGTCTTTGTAAATTCTAAAACGATGATAAATGATGAAATATTGTTTGAGGGTTTGCATGTTGAAGTAATGCTGACGGTACAATGTAGATAGGCCTAGTTCTGAAAAGATTTTTTTTTTTGAGAATGTCTCATTTTGTTTGTTGATAAATAAAAATACTAGCCGTGAAAACAAACATATGAAATTCAGATATAGTGTATTTGATTTAACAATTAAAATACCGCAACAAAAACACAAAAGCCTTTATTAAGGATTATTTAGAAATTGATAATATAATTGTGTCTTGTACACAGACTTTTCACTACTGGGAACTGCAAGAAAAAAAGAACATTGTTTTTGAATAACCACATACTGTAAATTTATACTCAAACTAATTAAAATTTCTGAAACAATAACAATTGCAAAACTTTAATAATAATCATACTGAAAAATACAAAAAAGAAAAAGTATTATGTATAGTCAAGGATCGTAAAAAAAGACAAAATAAATCATACTAAAACACACAAAAAAAGCTCTTTAAAAATACAGAACCCAAATAAACCACAGTGCGTACTTGGCACTCCATACTGCGGCTGTTAATTGCAATCGAAATGCTTAAGAACAATAGGGCACGATCACTTCTGACCCGGGTCGTTTTGGTCCAAAAAGGGCCGAATCAACCCGGCCGAATCGACTCAGGGCCGAAACGACCCGGAACCGGCCTAGGTGGGCTTCGGATGCTGACAGATAAGAATAGATGGCACACCAAGGCAAGGCCAAGCAAGCCCACCTGCCTTGTACAGTTCTAGCCTAGCCTGCCTATTCCTAGAGGAGGTCTAGCTAGGCCCAGGCCTAGGTAGGTTCGGAATCATAAATTCATATAGATTGAGTGCAGGTCCCAGCCTAGGCCTACCACAGTTTAGGCCACACTTGTCACTAGGCCTATCTATATACACTAGCTAGGCTAGGCCTACAACCTAGTAATAGTCTACCGTGTAGCCTATACAAAGCTTTCGCTGTGAGACTGTATTTAATGTATTTTCGATTTGGCCTAGGATTAGGACCTGCCTAGCCTAGGCCTATATTAAAAACACAAATAAGAAATTTATCTGAAGTTTACCTTCATCAGTGTATCTTTCCGCCATTGCTATAATTTCACTGATTATCAATGGCATAGGCTTAGGCCTAGTCAACTATTTGAGGAGGAGGATCTACCTAACACAAACCTAGTATCTAAAAGTGTAGACCCAATACACATGGTGTACTTATTTTCAAATATCATTTATCAATATTTACCAAGCAATCTGAATGCGAATCTAAGTAAATAAATATTTTTATTCATGTTTTTTGTTTTTAGCCTAAGCCTTAGTATACGCCAGTAAAAATGGAAGAACCCTATCCGGTGTTGAGCGACCTCGCCAGCTAGAGGTGCACGGCTTGACGATAAACGGAGTTTTTAATAAACAAAAAATTAAGACCATGTAAAAAATTGTATACAGTAGTATAAACAGTTAGCAGTGAGGTAATGAAATTCTGCTTATAGTTGTGGAACATACTAAACACAAAGCCAGCTTGCAGCAAGAAGGTAGGCCTAGCGTAGGTGCATGGTCAGGACTGAACACTAGCTAGGCTAGGCCTAGAGGCCTAGGCCTAGCTAGGGAGGGCTAGACTAGGCCTGGAGGAGGCCTATCAGAGACTGAGAGAGTAGACTAGGCCTAGGCCTAGAATTTAAAAGAGGCCTAGCAGAGAGAGTAGGTAGACTATGACTTAAAAGAGGCATAGGCTGCCTAGCCTAGTTTTTGCCAGGCAGAACATGGCTTTGGTGATTCTGGCTGGGCAACTGAGAAAGTCTCTTGTTGTGTTTGTGGGATTGGTCTTGCTCTTCTTGGCCTAGGCTAGGCCTCTAGGTACCTGTAGGAGGCTTAGGCTAGGCCTAGGCCTTGTAATATTAGTGAGTTTCCAGTAAACACAAAACGTTAAGATATTCTTGAACTTTGTGGTGGATAATACCGGGTATGTAAAAAATGGAGTGCTACAGTTAGAAAAGGAGAATGGTGAATTAACTGAAATTGATTTGGATATTGTGGATGTTTTAATCTAGATAGAATATTTCCAATCTGTCTTTACTAAAGAACCCGATGGTGCAGTTCCTCTAATCGATGACAGATGTATTTGTGAACTGAGTATTCATAATTTAAAATTGATGAAGTATTAAAATGGTTACAGGAATTGAATATGGATAAAAGTCCGGGTCTAGAATTAAATACATCTGAATTTGCTTAAAGAATGTGCTGAGGAATTAGCTTATCCATTTGCTGTATTATTTTAGTCATCAATGAACGAAGGAAAACTGCCTGAAGAATGGAACAATGCTGAGGTAATACCAATTTTTAAAAAAAAGGAAAAAAAGAGTGATCCTGGAAAGGCCCATCAGTTTAACCAAGGAGGTTAACCTCCTTGGTTTAACAGTTTTTTTATTTGGTGACAGTGGTTTAGGCTGTTTTTGTGATTTCCTGGCAGCTAACGACTATGGTCTATTTAATGTACTGTACTTGTCAATGTTGTGTTCATTTGCTTTTTTCTGATTTGTATTATATTTTGTATATTGTAATTATAAAAAAAATAACAATTATGCTGAGGAAGAGCACTGATTTGTTAAAGGGAAGTAATGTTTGACAAACTCATTAGAATTCATAGAAGATGTAACCTCAATTGATAAAAGTAATAATGTTGATGTGATATTATTGAATTGTCGCAAGGCCTTTGATTGTGTTCCTCATCGCAGATTAAACAGCAAATTAGAAAGTTATGGTGTCAGAGGTCAAATTTTAATTTGGATCACAGATTTCCTTGCTACTGTAATAGAAAGCAACAAGTGAAGGTATGTGATGCAAAATCAGTCAAGGCAGAAGTAACATGTGGTGGCCCTCAGGGGTCAGTGTTACTGTAGGACGCACTTTGTTTATACTTTTCATTAATGACTTAATAAAACATTCTGCATCCGCAATAAAAAATGTATGCTGATATTTCTCAAATCAACAGAGTTGTAAATAACCAAGAAAGAAGGTGCAAATAACCCCAAGAAGACTTGGATAAGATCCTGAATTGGAGTAGTGACAGGCTAATGAAGTTTAATATTGATAAATGCAAGGTACAGGTAATGCATTTTGGTCACAGAACAAGCTTTTCAAGTACTGCATACAACAATTGATCACAAGGACTTTTGAGTAGTTGATTCTTTAAAAATCTTGGAGTAGTCATTACTACTGTAGTGATTGCAACCCAAGTTTACAATGCAACAAGGCAGCTCAACGAGCTATGAACAGTCTGAGAGTAATTAAAGAATTTTACAGTAGATATGTTGATAGATCTAGTTTCGGAAATATATACAGATGGTATGTAAGGCCACATTTGGAGTATTGCATCAAAGTTTGGAATCCATATTTACAAAAAGATATTGATGTTTTGGAAAAAGTTCAGAGGCTTGCTACTAAAATGGTACCAGAATTTAAAGATTTACAGTATGAGACTAGGTTGCGCAATCTTGGACTAACAACCCTGAAACAGAGAAGAATGAGAGGTGACCTTATCAAAACCTTTAGGATTATATATGGATATGAAGGAATAGATCGTAAACAGATTCTTTAAAATGTGATCTGATTACTAGAGGAGTGTACAAACTAGTCTATTACAAAAAAAACAAAACTGTGTTATGCAGAAAATTATTTTTTACACAAAGAGTTGTTGAAGTATAGTATGAAAAGGTTTACGTGAAGACATTACTGTATCTCGGCTCCATCTGATGTGTTCACAAATCGCTTGGATAATTTTTGGAGAGACAGGGTATGCAGGAGTGGATTTAGGATTTTAAAGAGGGGGCGATTCAAAATGTTTCCAAAAAACCTCAAATCGAAAGGGTGTCCAGGGTTCCTCCCCCGTGAAGATTTTGATTCCTGGATGTCAGGAAATGATCTTTCCCGACTTCTGAAGAGTCTTTTAATGACCTTTAAGTTCTTTAAAATTCAAGGTCTTCCTGGTGAAAAAGGTCATTCTCATATCTCATTCATATATCATTATCATATATCATATATCATATCTCATGTATATACTGTCTGTGTACCTGTCTCTTATACACATCTAGATGTGTATAAGAGACAGTATATATATCATTCTTTAGACCTATATAGAGAAAAAAAATTAGACATACAGGCAATATATTGTTAGATATTTCAACAATAGTAGTAGTTGCATACGTATTCTTTCTTCCATTGGTCGATGAACTGATAGGCATGAAGATCGTACTTTCGTACATACTGTAAATTATTACGACGTCAAAACAAAAAAAATGTGTGTAATTTTATTTAATTGAAGGCTAGTTGGGCTAGGCTAAGACTAGTTTGTCTGATCTGCCCACCTATGCCTAGGTATGTTAGCATGCCTTTTGTAAGCCAGGACCTAGTATTATTTTGTTACGTTTCTTAACAGAGGGGGGTTCGTCCGAACCACCTGAATCAGAAGTTATTCCCACAGCACAGTGCCAATAAGAAATTAATGGCACGATACCGGGCGAACCTTTATCAATGGAGTGGCCAGTGGGGGCGCAAGCTCTTCGTGGGGAGAGGGGGTGGTGGGCGTGCAATACACAATTGCCATACAGTACATGTATATAAGTAAAGTAACCTTACGTTACAGCAGATGTTTTTTATGTAAAGCGCATAGAGCCACTGCGCAATATGCGTTATATAAATGTAAATTATTATTGTTGATATTGAATTCGAAAAGGGCAAACAAATATAAATTCAATGTTCAGTCAAATTAAGAAATTTGGCCAAGTTACAGTAAGTGTTCTGAAAACTGGATACTTTTCGCTTGAAATGGCATTCGCTCGACGTGGCGTCCACTCAAACTAGCATTCGCTCTACACATGTAGAGAGTTTTGAAAAGAATCATATAATTAATATTAACAAATAACAGCAATAGGACCTGCCTACAAAAACAATAATAAACAAAATGGTGAAATAAGGAAATGATTTACTATAAATAAATATAAAATTGTTTCAGAATGGCCATGGAACCTCCTGTAGGATAATTTCTATAAATTATCAATGGTTTTGATCTGGTGAACATACCATTGGAACCATCTACTGCAGTGGGTTGTGACCCAAAATTGGGTCGCCAAATAAAATAGAGGGCTGCAAGACTCTTATGTGTCCGTGTATCTAATAACTTAGAGGTTAAGATACTTTACTTCTAATCCCTGGATTCAATTCCGGTCACAGCAGGACTTTTTCTCCTAACTACTGTAAAAACAACTCCACTTCATGCATAGGCTTCAATATTAGAAACTTGGTTTATGAAGCACCATTCAGTCCTGTGACTGGAGAGTGTACTTGGTGGTTGTGAAGGAAATAAAAAAAAAAATTTATACCACAAAACATTATCAAAGGACGAAATGTAATTCTCAATGTTATTTTTTCAGGGTGTCAAAATGACTAATATACATGATATTGCCAAGTGGCCTATATTCAGTCTACTGGATGAAAGTTTTTTCAATGTTATCAAGTTTGCCTGCGTGTTTGGCAGTTCAGGTAACGAGGCTATATTTGTGACCAAAGAGGACGATGTGTACTCCCTAGGCAACAACCACAACAGCTGCTTGGGACAAGGGGACGTTCAAAGTAGCTTGCATCCGCGCAAGATCGAGTGTCTGTGCAAGAAAGGTGTTGTAGATATGGCTTTTGGTTCCGGACCTCATGTAGTTGCAGTGACCGGTGATGGACAGATTTACAGGTTGAGAATCCAAACTATTCCTGACATTTTAAAAATATTTACAATAATATTATAGTAGAACTATTTAATCAACAATAAACCAAGCACAATTTGATGTAAACTTACTGGGAGCTTTCATCTATGTTATCAACAGGCCTTTATCAGGCTATGTGAGTTAGCATCCATTGTTTGGGCATTGTGATAACATAGATGAAAGTTTGCAGTAAGTTTACATCAAATTGTGCTAAGTGGTTTATTATTGATTAAACAGTTGTACAATAATTATAAGCAAACAAGATAAAACTATTCAAATATTTACGAAATTTGTAATAGAATAATAATTATTATTAAGTGTATTTTACTGTAATAGTTAGATCATTATCATGTGAGTCTGGCTGCTGAGCAAATGTTTATTGTTATCATTATGGGACTTACCTCCACAACACAATAATTCAACTTTTCATAGTGAGTACAGTATTATTAATATTATGTTTTTAATTTAACTTTGAGTATAATTTCTATGTCATTGTCATCTCCATCGTCTCTACCACTTCAGCCATAGCCATCATCATCATTCGTCCTCATCATCATCTTCATATCATGTCATGTTATATGGCAGTTGTTTTTCTTATTATAATTTTTTTATATATTTTATTTCTTATAGCTGGGGTCACAATGGTTATTGTCAACTTGGAAATGGCTGCACAAATTCTGGACTCTCACCAAAGCTCATCTCAAACACGGGTAACCTCGGTTCATGTAAGGTCACGCAAATAGCTTGTGGTAGCCATCACACCCTTGCTCTGACAGAGATGGGAGAGGTACACAGCAGAATTTATTTTCTTTTTAATTATTCGCATTTTGTTCTATATTTTTTGTGGCCCCAATGGTTCAAAAACAAGATAAAATTGAAATATCGTTATGGGAGTCTACAATATGCAATAAAACATACAGTTTTCCTTGAATCAATGAACCCTAATAAACAAAGCAAACTGAATGTTTAATAGGAATATTCTAGACCTATTTTAAAGACTCAAGGAACGAAATTAAATGTAGGCCTACAGGCAGGCAGGAGATCGCCGATGCCGCCTCCTACTACTAGCCTAGGCCGTAGCCTAGTGTAGTTATGAAATTATCTCACAATTTTTAACCTGTCTGCACCGGCCAGAAAGTTAGTGACAGTAACTGTATTCTCTCTCGAATGCTTTAAAAAAATGTTTATTTCTTTGACGAATGTGATACATTACAAACAAGTCTTCTAACACAATACAAATTACCAAATAGTTATTCATCGTATCCATACTGTACTGCTGATGTGTAGTTAACACGTACTGCATAAGCACAAATCAGCATACGCACAGCTAAATGTAAATATGCACACTGTATACTGATCATATCACTATAGCAACCGATGGTTATCAAAACTAACATTAAATGACGGTGATTGACTTATAAAGCAATTAGTAGAGCATGCATCGTACACTAGCGGAAAATTATTATTCTTAGGTTAGATTTAATGCATTCAAAAATTTCCTTCGGGCCTTGCAGGCCCTCAGAAAATGTTTTCAAGCATTAAATCTAACCTTCGTATAATGTTTTTCCTATAGTGTACTATGCGGAGCTCTACTAATTGCCGAGTAGTGATAGTAATTGGAATAAGGATAATAATAGATATTGACATTTATATATATTGTATTGTATTGTTTAACTGTACTTATAGATGTATGCTTGGGGTTATAATAATTGTGGTCAGGTTGGTACAGGTGCAACAGCTAACATCAACACACCAAGGAAAGTGGCATCAGTATTAGGTGAGACAAACATACTGTAAACTTTTTAAAGTTACATTTAGTTTTATGTGACACATATAAGAGCAATTTAAAGTGGCATCAGTATTATGTGAGAGTTATGTGAGCAATTTAATGAAGTGGCATCAGTATTATGTAAGACAAACATAAATAATTTAAAGTTACATTAGTTTTATGTGAGGCATATAAGAGCAATTTAAAGTGGCATCAGTATTATGTGAGAGTTATGTGAGCAATTTAATATTTAGATGAATGTGGACAATTTAAAGTGGTGTCAGTATGTGTGATATGAGTAATTTAAAGTGGCATCAGTATTATGTGAGACATAATGTGAGTAATTTAAAGTGGCATCAGTATTATGTGAGACATAATGTGAGTGATTTAAAGTGGTGTCTGTATTATGTGCGATATAAATAAGCAGTTTAAAGTGGCATCAGTATTGTGTGAGACATACGTGAGCAATTTAATGTGACGTCAGTATCATGTGAAAAATATGTGAGTAATTTAAAGTGGCATCACTATCATGTGAGACATACAGTACATGAGCAATTTAAAGTGGCATCAGTATTATGTATTGTTTAAAAATTTTATCGAGAACCTCTTATCATTGTGCTATCTGTATTTTACTTTGGTTACTGTATATGTGGCAAAGACAAGCCAAACCAGTCACTCGTCGCAAAAATCAATTTTGAGTTATTATTACAGTGTTAGAGAGTAAAATAATAGCTATAAAATGGTAAAAAAATCATTCAAATCAGACATTTCCTTATGAAGTTACAAGCGTTTAAACATACAGCTGTTTAAAGAATAATATATATGAGAAATCAGCCTTTAAAGTTTATGATTTCAGGCATTTCTCATGCAGAAACTATCATCAAATCCTTAAAAAGTGTTGTTTTAACATTGAAAATGGGGAAAATAACAGCATAGAATGATGTATAGATATGTAAAAATTAGTTTAGTGCAATAAAATAGATTTTTAAAAATTTGACATTCCACCATGTTTTGGCCATTTTCTCTGAAACACAATTTGCAACGAGTGACTGGTTTGGTTTGTCTTTGCCACATATGTTTTATATTTTGTTATGAGGGCCTCTTTGAGTCTGCTCGCCATATGAGCTGACTACCCTTATAAATGAAAGTTGAATAAATAAATAAACATAATTTAAAATATTATGTGAGAGCCACTCATGTGGTGGATACAGTACTGTGTAAATGTTCAAGTATTATTGATATCATTTACAATTTTCATTGGTTTTTAGCTGGAAAGAAGGTGGTATCTATAGCATGTGGCCAGACATTCTCTCTAGCTTTGACTCAACATGGAGAGGTAATGTTAAAAGTGACTTTGTGAACTTGTCACTCAACTCAACTACCGTAGTTGCCAGTAGTGTTATGTTGACTTCCATGCACAATTGCTCGCAACTACAAATTACAAGGAACAACTAGTTACCCTTAGCACTTACCGGTAATGTTGCTTCCGACTATAGATTATCTACAACTAGTATACTGCATATATTTAAATAACAATAGACCGATAGTTGGTATTAGGATTGATTGAAATCTAATTGAAGCTTGCCATTCGAATTCCAGCATCGGTGACCAAAAAATGAAAATTGACTTTTTAAAATATTCTTATTCTCCACATTGTAAGCTTTAAAATGATGGGTCATTTTCTGGAATCGACTTACTATTGCCAAAGCTATGAGTAAATGTATTATGGATTCTCTGTAGTAAAGTACTTAATACTTCCATATTGTTATGCTAATTACTCAGTTTAATATATACTGACAGTACGCTGGTTTTAGGATAGCATCCCTTAATTAATTGGCACATAAAATTACTGTATGCATAGATTAAAAGAAAATGTTAATGAAAAGACTATAAATCAATAATGAAAACTGACTTTTTTATGTGTGTGTCACTGGAACATTTTAACTTATTTGTTCATTTAAAATCACAATTTTATTTTTGAATTAATTTTGAGGAGTGGGGTTTCCTTATGTTATTACAAAATTATATGCTGTTTGTGTGATTACCTCCTTTTGTGGTCACTACCACCATCCCTGTCATTGATAGTGGCTTGCATTATTAGGTGATTTTGTCCTACCTGACTGTTATCATACCGAATACTCAGTAAGTTTCCAAATACTTGCGAAAAAATGTGCAATTGATTCTCGTGGGAATTGAACCCACGACCACTAGACTACCAGCTTGTGCTTAGTGACTAGTGTTGAAACTGATCCCCAAGTAGCAGCAGTAAAATTTGTATGTATGACACGTCAGGTTGGGCGAAACATCACTCTTATGATATTTTTCCTGACGCAAACTCACATCAAAATAATAAAATGTCTTTATAATGGCAAGCAGTTGTTTGTGATGATGAAAAATTATGAGATGTCTCCCATTGTTGCTGTTACTTATTGTAATACTGACACTTTTTTGTGATATTAGATATATGGATGGGGTTATAATGGTAATGGTCAACTAGGTCTTGGGAACAATGTTAACCAGCCAAGTCCCTGCAGAGTGTCCAGCATACAGAACACTGTCGTCTCACAGGTAAGAAACATAACATACAGGGCGGTATACCATGGAGTATGATAAATAATTATAATGAGTTTGTACTAGTTTGTTATAATAAATAGTAAGTAATACAATAGCTGAATTAACACTCAGATTAACCATAACACTTTCCAAAGAATGGATAGTCAATGGTCATGTATTTTTTAGCCCTATCCACAGTAAAAACCATCTCAAGGAAGGTACACGCCCCCCCCCCCATTTTGAGATAGCATTCCTAGAATGTCAGTAGAACTTAACTGCACAATCAGAACCTGTTATTTATTTGACGAGGATATGAGCATATTTCACAAAACAGAAAGTTTATGTTTACGACCGTGCACTTTGCCATGTTTCTCTAAAAATGGCTGTTGTTTTGAGATTGTATCATCTGATTGATCTCTATTTCACATGCACTAGTGCTGTACTCGCATTTCATTTCATTTATTTTATCTATGGCACACAAGAATTACAAAATAATGTACAGGCACTTTAGGAGGTAGACTGGATTGTCAAAAAATGAAACCAATGAACTGTTAAATGACTCTCCAACCTCCTAAAGTGAAAAAATTAATTAACAAGAACAAAAAGCACAAATAAGGAGGAAAAGAAGTATACATTATTTTAAAAAAAAATCAATTTTTCATGGAGTTCAGACACAAAATGTAAAATCAATTTAGTGCTCTGGAATTCAAATTCAAAATGAAACCAAGTGATTTATTTAGTTGTCTGCATAAGGGTTTGAATCTCAACGTGATTTTTTTCTTGCTGATACCTATTTTTCAATGTTACCAGAGTTATGTATTTAATTTTACCTTTATTTATATCCATCTGTCCGTTCGTTGATTGATCTATTTATATAGACAGTTAAATTCCAATATTAGTCTTTTTAATTGTTTCCTTGCATCCAGATTGTTTGTGGTTATGCTCATGCATTGGCATTGTCTGACACTGGAGTATTATTTGCCTGGGGAGCGAACTCCTATGGACAATTGGGCATTGGGAACAAAGCAAATCTGGCAACGGCAACACCAATTGCATCGGACATTGGCAGGTAAGTTGGAAGGTTGATTTTACATTACAGTAGATGATGTAGGTAAAAATTACCTGATATCACCAGATCCTTCACCTAATTCCCCTCACACCCATTTTCCCCCTGTCAGAGACCTTTCACTGTACACCTTGTCAGGGGTGTCATGTGTTTGAAATTTTGTGGGTTATACTTTATATTAAAATTATCCAAATATAGTACAATTGGTGAAGCTGTGTTATGTCTTCTATAGTTATGTGTTACTAAGCCCGGTTAATAAATTTGTGCTGTATTGTTTTTTGTATTCATGGTCAATTTTATTTAAAAAAATTTTGTTCATGTTTCATTTATTAGATTCATAGAAGTTGCAGCCACTCATTATAACCATGTGTCGACTGCTATGGGGGAAAATGGAACCGTCTATATGTGGGGTCAATGTAGAGGTCAATCGATCACGTTGCCAATGGAAACAAGGTTTACAAGTGTTGATGATGTGTTTGCTTGCTTTGCTTCACCTGCAGCTACATGGCGTCCCGTGACATTTGGTGAGTTTCAAGCTGATAAAGCTGATACTTTTCAGCCTATAAGTTGTCGTATTGTAATTGTATTAATTTTACTACTGCATTTATCCGCTTTAAATAGATACCCCCTCGAATAAACGCCCCCTAAAAGACTGTAAACGGGCATCAACATTCTCAACGTTCTATGAATGTTCTATTGTCGTAGAATTACATTTTTTATAACCTGGTTGGAATCAATAAGTTTTTATTATCACATTTTGACTAATTATGTGTTGTATTTCCATATTTACAGTGAAATTAAGGGGTGTTTATTGAGTATTTATGTATCCATAAAAAAAAAATCAAGTTGTATCAAAACTGTATTTTCATGATCTATTATTAGAAAATTTTCTTGGAAGAAGAGCTCTTGAGAAAAGTCTACTGAAAGCTTTTGATGACCCGGTAAGATCCTTTAATTGACTTCATTAAAAATAATTATTATTAGTGGGAATAAATCTTCATGTTTCTAAGGTAACATGTGTGTCAACTAAGCATGGTTGGCTATTGAGTGAGGAACTTGTCCGCCCTTTATTCAGCTATTTTCCTTGGGGGGGGGGGGCGTCTAGCTACCCTACCACCAGGGGAACAACATAGATTAACTTTATTTTAAGCATTTTACAGTACTGTCAGATTTCTGTAAAATAATAAAATCTAACATTATTCTTGCAGGAAACATCGGACCTGAAGTTTCTTGTCGAAGGAAAGCATATACACGTTCACAAGGCAATATTGAAGATAAGGTGGGTAAAATTTATGTAAGGAAAATGAATACTAAAAATCAATATACACCATAAAATTAAGTTCCTTAAATTCATGCTATAGTAGGGCGGACAGTTGAGTGAGCATGCCTAGATTATGATATCTTAACTAAATATAAAATTAGTCAATTTAAGTAGGGAGCGGAATTTTTCAACTTTTGTAACTCATTGCAGACAGTACAATTTTAATGGTAATTGGAGTTGGGTCATATCAGTAACTATTTTTTTTTGACTGAATAATAATAGGGACTTGCATTGCCAAAACAGGTATCGGTGATCAAAACAAGAAAATTGCAGTTTTAATATACTTGTATTCTCCACATTCTAAGCTTTAAAATGATAGGTCATTGGAATCGACTAACTATTGACAAAGCTATGAGTAAAAATATTACGGCTTTTCAGTACTAAAGTGTACATTCCTGCCACATTCTTATGCTAATTACTCAGTTTAACATTTAGAGTTAGTATGCTGGTTTTGGGATGGATAGCCGCATATGCTTAGTTTTTAACATGTAGCATATTAATGGTTAACCTATAGATAATAATATGAGTTGGAGTGAGAAATGCCAATTAAATAATCAGTCACACTTGGATTAGATTGGATTTATTTGGTGTAAACACCAAGGATAGCCCACAAAAGTCTAGAAGAAGACTTATTTCCAGTGGGGTCCTTCTGGTGGTAATTGGGCAGTACACCGGGAGACAATCCCCTACTTTTTTCCGAAGAGTCCACTGCGTTCTTTAACGTGCGCATGGGCCATAATGCACACAGGACCAACGGCTTAAACGTCTCATCTGAAAGACGGTGCGCTATTGTAACTTGTATTTCGGCCCTCATCTGAAACACAAGGAGAGGCAACAATGGGAATTGAACTGCGGACCTAGAGATCTTCACGGTTCAGCACACACACAGTGGCTACCACCAGATTAGTGGACTGAGCTAAGCTGCTTTCTTGTATTTTTCATTGTATTTTAAAGATGTGAACACTTCCGCACCATGTTCCAGTCACACTGGGGAGAGAGTGGAAAAGAGTAAGTAAGGTTTAATCATTTCTACTGAATACCCTCTGATGCAGTTTCAGCACTAGCTGGGTGGTGTCCAAGGCAGTGGTGCGATAATAAGGTCCGAGGCCCTTGACTAAGGCTTCATTGGGCGCTACAACATTTTTGATGTTGATGTATTTTGATGTCTTATTTGTAATAAGAGGCCCTGCTTGTGCTTATTAATATTCCGGGGTCCCTTTAAGTAGCCAGTGAGAAGTTACAGTTGGTTGAAAAACCCTGGATCATCCATCGGGAAAGAAGCCAATACACTGCCATGAAAAAATTTATTTTTGAAGTCTAACAGCACCATTTTGGGGCATCTTGAGGTGTCTTCTAAAATTGTCTCCATCCATGGTGTGGCTAAAGTAAGTGTGGACCCCCTGCCGGAGTCCTTGTACTCCCTGTTGGGGATCTAGGAAGGGGTTTGGGGTACATATATTACTAATGTGTTCACATAATGGCGGTCATGAACCTGCTCACATGGGACAATATGTCACCTGTTCTAGTTTTTTGAATTTCTAATTATGCTCCTATGTGAATATTTGTGTTATGGGCTGTTGTTATCTACAATATATAATCAAATTCATTATATTTTGTTTGCAGTGTTATTGAAATCAGTCAGTTTTCATACCCAGTATACCACGCCTTTCTCCATTACTTGTACACAGATAAAGTAGAACTCTCTCCAGAAAATGCAATAGGTAAGTATGTCTGACATCTTTTTAAAATGAATATTATAAAGTATATACACTTACAAGCATATTAATTCTGACATTCTGTCACAAAATGGAATCCATTTATTTTGTACATATTCCACCAATATACAGACATGTCAAACCCAGTACTCAAAACTAGAGCAGTCACTCCATAGATTTTATACCTTCTGCTCTGTGCCTGAATACAGTAACAACAATACGCAGGCTGTATAATGGGCGAAACTGCAGCATACCCTCAATGAAATAATGGAATCGCCCATTGTATCCAGGCATATTATTTTCTTGTGTGCGACAGAATACCCTCAAGAAAATAATAAAATCGTCCGTCGTATTCAGGTACATTGTTTTCTTGAGTGCTGTCTGAATACATGGGGCGATTCCACTATTTTTTTTTAATGCTCGAGGCTAATAAATTGAATTTCTGTGACATTTTGTTCCGAAAAATGAATAGTGTCTTTCGTTGATTATTATGTATCATTCCACTAAATTTTATGATGCATAACTTCCTTGGTAGAGGTAATAAATTGTCCACACATCTCAAACAATGATTGTTGTTCTAAAAACAGAATACTGATGCACCAAGGAAATTAATTAACAAGAATATTGCTCATTAGGATGTTCTGATAATGTCATCTGGTTTGAAATATTTGTCTTGATATTGAGAATTGTTTTTAATCATCCAAATTAATCATTCAAATGCATCAAGGCAATTACACCAGTTCTGGAAGCAAGGACTAGCTATTTTGTTGCAATTTATTGTTGTTCTTATTGATTAAATTAATTCACAACATGCAACTAATATCTACAATGTCCACAGAAAGGTTAAAAAGAAACCAAACAAATAATATACTGTAGAACAATTTCATCGTCTGGAATAAATTGTTGAACAATTTAACTTCTAGAAACCAATTCACATACTCACAAGAAACTAAATAACTTGTAAATAAATTTAAGATGAGATAAAATTAATGTCCTTTCAAATTCTGACACGATTATCGCTCTAAATTTATACACCATCACTAGATATAGAAATAATTACTATAATATTTTTAATTCAAATTTATTTTAATTTTTGTCACTAGTTATTTTTTAATCTTTTATATTTCCAAATATTTTAATTCTTTAATTGTGAATCTTCATATTTTTATATATAATTTGTATAGTATTATAATTGTAATTAAGTTAATTTTTTTTGTTGTGAATTTTGTATAGCAAGTGTAAAGGATTTTTTTGCATTATGACAAAAAGTTTTTCTTTATTTTTATTATGCCCACTGCTGCCTTGAAATCTCCAAAAATATAATATGTATATTTCTTCCTAATTATATAAATTTAAAGCATTTACAGTAACCATCCCATTACTACACTGTTTTACATTCACCAATAAATTTTATTTTTATTTTCTCCGGATGTTTTTGACAAAACTGTTTAATAAGAAAACAAAGTTTTAGTTTTATTTTTTTTCCGCCCTCCTCTGATGACCTGTAACAAAAATAAGTTTGCGAAACAAGTTATTAAAAAAGTCTTGCCTGGAGCATCTTGTGTGGGTGTGTTTGTCTTGTGAAGGAATTTCCACTTAGAAGATTAAGTTTGCTGTTTGGCATATCCTTGACCCATGTGTCCAAAGTTGAATAAAGTATTATTCTTTGCTCTATGATCAACCTTAGCAAAGAGTAATGAGTAGTGTTCAGGAAAAAAAAAAATCAAATTTTGTTTTCTTATTTAGCAAATAGTTTTGCAAAAAAAATCATCCAGACGGTAGAGAAAATAAAAATAACATTTTATTGGTCAATATAAACAGTGCAGTAATGGGGTGATTAATTATTTAAATGCTTTAAATTTATACAATTAGGAAAAAAATATACATATCTTATATTTTGAGATGTCAAGGTAAAGAAAAACTTTTTATTTTTTTTTTAAATTTTCATTTTTTCGTGACGATAGGTGCTCTAATTGGCCTAAGTGAATTTGTATTTGTATTTGAAATTATCATTATTGGCGAGCGGCGGGTTTGAAAAACAAGGTAAAAAAAAAGTCTTTAATGTTAGCTTGACCTCAGGATGATTGATTTCGTCATGCGATGATTGATTTTAGTCTCGTCAAATAATTAGTCGCTATTTATTATCAAAAATATTGAATGCCTAAAGGTAATCATAAGCAACCTTCCGTGTTCCAATTACAGTTTGTTACATTCATGTCGCCTTTCGTTGTATTTGATGAATTTCTGCTTTTCTCAGTAAGGAATACTGAATATATCAAAGTCCAATTCAGATTGTACTGTCTTTGTTCAAACTATGTACTTCAGTTTGACCCCAAAATATCTATCCAGTGCATAGAACCTGAATAACATTCTCCTTGATGGAATACAAGTTTGATTGAGCGAACTTTGCACAGGTAGAATAAACCAGGTTGCTTTTCAAGCAGAAAAGCCAGCAAGCGACTTAGACTGGGTTAAATCGACCTTAGCGTGTGCTAATACCATGGGGGGGGGGGAGCGGTGGCCCGACCAGGCCCCTTGTAAATCTACCCCTGCATGTCATTCTAAATCCATGTCCAGTATTTTGTAGAAGAGTGAGTTTGAATCTATTTTTCCGGTGAACAATAAGTCTTGCATGTTTTGCAGAGTTCAAGTAATTTTAGTTTTTTGGATCACTAATCTAGTTCATAACCTCCAGATATTTGGTTTCATTGTCTAAAGTAATGCCTCCCTCTAATTAAAGACCCCTCCACTTAAAGACCACCTCCAATTAAAGACCACTTTAATACTGTTGTCCCAAATTAAGAAATGTCTTTTAACTTTATTATTCTAATTAGAGACCAAAGCTGCTAAAGACCATGCAAACCCTGGTCCCAAAAGTAGTCTTTAATTGCAACGAGACCTGTACTACTAAAAATGAAATTGTTGTCAGGATAAATGTTAGGGTATGCATTTTACGTGGAGACATCAGCGGTCTCTCTACTAATCCATGTCAGACCTCAGATAATACTTTAATCTATTTTGAATACTCCCTGTGATATATTTTTTTTTATTGTGGTTTGGGATGACAGATTTAAGATGGTCGATTAATTCCTAAAAAGTCAGTTCACATGTTTTGAGGAGAATGTGGTGAGATAATAATAAAATTAATTAGACAGAGTGTGTCATGGGCTTAAAAAACAATTTTGATTGCGTGTCCATGAATATTTAAGAATGTTTAAAAGTAAACTTGACATTCAAGAAATGTCAGGCATTGTATTAATTTATTTGTTTTATCTATTTTAATAATTTGCTTTGTGCAATGAATTTGCTGTTTCAGTAGTGTATTTCACCCGTTAGCCTTTCCCTTCATTTGCAGTTGTTAAATTGATGTTTTTGTGAAGTGTTTTTTGTTGCCAAAAGAATTTGAAAAAATAAATTTTAAATAAATAAACATAAAACAGTTATGAAAACATTTTGTGTATTTACATTTTATTTTAATAACATTAAACTTCATTGTGCTATAGATTTTTTTTTTTAATTGTTTATACTGCTAGTGCTGCATGTGCCAAAAAAATTATTAATCATTTTAAAGTATACTAGAGTAATTTTTAACTTTCCAGATTTTATTTTTCATGGTTCTCTAAGTGTCTTTAAGCCTGGTTCTCATAAGAGACCTACTGTAGTATCAGCATCGGGAGCTAACTGTTAGCGCTAACTGTGTGAGAAAGCCCAATCGGTTAGCACTAACCGTAAGCAGCATCCAGATACCGCTAACGGTTAGCAAGCATAATAGAGTGCGTTTTTATCATCAACCAATCACACATACACGTTTACAATTTCCAGTTTCTTATTGGCCAGTGATTCGATCATTATATTCTTGGTATCCGGATCGGGATTTTCTCGTATGGATGCATGGCAGCTAACGGTAAGCAGGATCCGGATCCTGCTAACCGTTAGCTGCTGTGTGAGAACATAGCCTACATGTTTTTACAATGATATTTAAATGCTGATATTGCAGTATTTTTAATTGTTTCATGTTTTTGCCAGTGGCAAAAGAATTTCGATTTTACTTGTGTCTACATGGATAAATAAAGTTTGATTGATTGATTGTAATGAATTTCCAGGCTATAAGGAAATAACTAGGAATCCCTCTTTAACATACAAAATATAAACACAGTTCACAAAGTCAAAACACAACTCTCAAATAAACTTTTATTCCATGTAAGATCAATCAAGAATCCGGTCTCAAACAACACGATGCACTTTGGTTTTAAAAAGCTCCAGAAAGAAAAAGCTTTTATCTTATATACATAAGCACAGTAGAATTCTATTGAATTCTACAGTATATTGCATAAGTCACATTGCTTTATAATTAGCCAATAGATTTATTGTCTCTACAGCCGTGTCAGACTGTAGGGTAAATTGCAGGGTATGCTAGGCAGTGGCTTATCTAGGGTGTTGTGGGGGGGGCCATGTCCCCAAAATAATTTCCCCCCCCCCCCAAATCATGCTCAAATAGTTAAAAATCACCTCAAATCACCTTATTTTGCGAGTTTGCACTCCTCATCTAATCATCGATCCCCCACTTTTCACCTTCCCACACCCATCAGCTCCTCTTCTATTTTAAGAGGCCTAGATATGCTACTGATGCTAGTAGGAAAAGTTTGTTTCCCTGTAAACAAAGATTGCATTCTATTGTCAAAATACAAATGTATGTTCTTTTCTATACCGGCATGGTTGTAGTTTTTTTAGATAATACAAATTTCTTCTATACCGGTCTTACGTTTTTTTTGGTTTTTTTTATAACCAGTGAGAGGAATGGCATATACACATATTCTTGGTGGGCAGTACTTCCATTTGAGTGTTAAATTGGCTATTCCAACGCCATCACGCGGTTGGCACAATAACCAATTTAAGTGTTAAGTGGGTATTCTCCCACTTCCATTGACTCACTGAATAACGATTGGCTGATATTGTAAACCAGCCATGTGAAATTCTAAGCAGCTGAGAGCACGATGCGATAGGCCCGAGTTTGACTTGATACCAAAGTAGGCCAAAAATTGAAAAAAAAATGCTATTCCAATGAACTGCAGCATTACACTTGAAAAAGTTTGTTGCTAAGAAATGCTAAATAAAACAGAGAAACTGTACAATAATTTATTATTATTATTATTATTATTATTATTATTAATAAATTAGTTTTAGCAAGGAGGTATAAAATGTTATACCTTCTTGGTTTTAGCCAGGGTATGCACTTTGTCTCTTGTGTTCTTATAATTACCAAAGTGGTTTGCATTGATTGTATGGACAAATAAACGTTATTCTAGAATGTTCTATGTATTAAATGTGTTACACTAAGGCAAGTAATGGCAATTTATTACAGCTATCATGAGTCAATATCTGCAGAATCAATGCAAAGAAAACTATACAATTCATCATGAAACAAACTCTGCATTGCAGGGTAGGTATATAAATATATGCACTAATCCATTTTAATAACATGAAATTTAAAATAGCCTGAAACTGTGTATTTTAGTGTCTCTTTATAATTTGTTTGTGGCAAATAAATTCAATAAGCATGGTGGTTTTGCTTCATGCCATTTAATTTTAAAAGGAAGTCATAAGAAGGGAAAAAAAATTCAGCTTGATTGATAGATTTACTGACACTTTACTACAAAAATACTTAAATTTTGACATGCCATTATTTTCTGTAAGTCACAGATAAGAAAAACAAAATGTTATTGATAGATTTACAGACATTTTGCTACAAAAATAATGGCATGTAAAGACTTTACAAATTATTTAAATGCTGCTACACAGCTTATGAGCTTTATACTCTACTGTCATGAAATCCAATAGAAACCACCCTACAACTCTCCCCACCCCCTCCCCCCAAAAAAGGAAAATGAATTGCTCTATTTAAAGAATCAAATGGTCATAACATAAATGAAAACAATTTAGTTTTTGTTGATTTACTAGAACAAAAACATAACAGTTAGTCAATATAGTGGTCTGTCCAAGAAATAATATTTATGCATATTTTAATTTGGATAGAAAAATATGTAATTTACAAATACAAGCTGCTGTGACTGTGATGCCATAAATAGCTACATTAGATGAATTAAGATAATGTTTGCATTACAAAGGTTTGAAAATCATTGAAAAGTATAAAACAAAGGTATAAAATACAAAGCTAAAGATTTAAAATCAGAGCAGTGGTATTGAAAAAATATCACACTATCACAAATATCTGCCATTTGCCCATATATGGGGGTGATGCCATATCCCCCCCCCCCCCATATATGGCCAACTCACAGGTACTTGTATCTTGGCACAGGAGAAAATAATGCATTTTTTTCAAGATTTAATCTCTTTAAGTTTGTAATTGTTTAAATACATTAAAGGTTGTTTAGGGAATACTTGGGTTCTGCTCTTGGACCTTGCTATGTACATTCATCAACCTCTAGACCCCAGCGGGTAAACTGCCCTGGGACCCTGGTTCACTCTCAGTGGCCCTGAGGTACATATTTATGTATTTTATTCAGTAGTATATATTTGTAGAACTGTTTTAATCAATAATAAAACCACTTAGCACAATGGATGTAAACTTACTGCAAGCTTTCATCTGTTATCAACATGACTTTGTCAGACTATGTGAGCTAGCATCTATTTTTTGGGCATTGTGTAAACATAGAGTACCACAGTCCGTTGACAACAGAGAGTGCCACCTGGCGTCGTTACAACATGACTGTGGTACTCTATATTAGTTATCGAACACACATTTAATCATCAATTAAAAATTTACAAAGAAAAAGTAAGATACAACATCTTAAGAATTACGTTAGAAATTGGGATCAATGGTTTGTCAGTGAAGAAAATTGTGTCCGGTTAAACGCTTTTTGCAACGATAGCAACAGAGTAGTATCACGTGGTATCGTGACGTAGCACTGTAGTACTCTATAGCTGACGAAGTAATTTTGATAACATCATCGAAAACTCTCAGTAAGTTTACATCCATTGTGCTTGGTTTGTTATCGATTAGAATAGTTTACTGCTATAAGCAAACCAGATGAAACTATTCAAATATAGATATTTATTCTATTTTCAGGTCTGCTTGACCTAGCAAACTCGTACTGTGAAATGCATTTGAAGAGAATGTGTGAACGTATCATAAAGCAAGGGATTTGTGTTGAAAATGCCGCAATGCTGATGGCAGCAGCTATCAAATACGAAGCAGTCGTAAGTTTCTCATTGGAATATAAGTGGTGAAGACAAGCCAAACCAGGCTCTCCTCACAAAATCATGTTTCGGAGATAATGACCAGAACATGTTGGAATGTCAACATTTTTAAATTCTATTTTATTGCACTAAACTAAACTTTTTATCTATACATCATGCAATGTTGTTATTTCCCCATTTTCTATGGTAAAACAACATTTTTTTTAAAATTTTGTGAAGATCTGTATGTTTAAACTTCTTTAACTTCATACCGAAATGTCTGATTTAAGTGATTCTTTTACCAATTTATAACTTTCATATTAAAAACATGTCTCAAATGTTTAAGCACCCTGTAAAGCACAGGTGGGAAAAGTACGGCCTGTTGGGCAAGTGCAGCCCGACACTAAATTTGTTGCGGCCCGTGAAAATATATTGAAAACTCTATTTACGGCCTACCAACTATCTTTGGCTAAAAGTCCCCTTGTTTTTTACGGTCCGACACCCATCATATGTTAAAAGTAGTTAGTAGAACTCAACATAAAGTGGTATAAAAGCAGTGCATGAAAATTTTGGAAGTATACTGGGAAATCAACTTTGGGTGCAGCCCTTAGTGTTAAATAAAAAAGTCACTTTGGCCCTCCAACCTTTTTTTATGCCCACAGCTGCTGTAGAGGAAAGGGACGCACCAATTCCTCCTAAAAAGACTAAATTAATTCTAAAACCTGTTGGCCCCTCTACCTTTGATATTCTTAATCTACGCCTGTAAACATAATCATGATAAAAAAATTAGTCATTCACAATTAAAAACAAAATTATTTCTTCTTGTTTTTTAGGAACTTGAAGATTTTTGTTTCAAGTTTTCCATGAACCACCTGACAGCTGTGGTGCAAACTGAAGCCTTTCAAAAGTTGGACGAATTTACCGTAAAAACTTTGATAAAGAATGCAGCACAATGGGGTGCATTTAAGTATTGATTGAAATAAGATTTACTCATTTCAGGTGGAGGTGCACCTTTATTGAGCAATATGCTGGATATATTTATAATTATATAATAATATTTATTTTGACAAAAACATTAACATTAGTTGCATGCTGGAAAACAGTAAAATCTCAAAATGACGAATTATTGCTGGACAAAATATGTCATAAGAGAACTGTGATACTAAACAAATATAAGGTTAAACTTTACCTATGCTTCCTTGAAAATAATATATGTTACCTCTCCCTCTCTATACATCCTTACCAGCTTCCTTAAAAAATCTAAATGCTAAAGTTTAGCCTTTTTAATTCCCCCTTCCCCCAAAGCTTAAAATCTTCCTTACGAGTACAAAGTACAATTACAGTTATAGTTATGTTACTTATTCGCTTCCTTAATAAAACTAAGTGCTAAAGTTTACTCTTTTTTCCCCTTCCTGACCAAACAAACTTTCAAACCTGCCTTACAACTAGCAACATCTTTCTCTATTAAATTGTAAATGTGATTCAACTTACTGATAGCAACTGATCCTTAGCAACTAGCCAGCAACTGTGAGCAACTGGTGAGCAACTATGCGATCTGAAAGCAACTTGTGCGATCACAAGCATTCACTTGCTCTCAGTTGCCCATGTTGTATTTTTCTGCATTTCAAAGCAACTGACAAGCAATTAAATGGTGAGAGTATTAACCCTGTAAATCTAGTCAACTGTGCCACATAGGGTGACATTTATGAAGTATAACAACTATTTGTAGGTAAATCTACAATTGAATTGTTTTTATTTTTTTGCAATATATTATTAAGTTATCACTGAAGACGCACATGTTTTTGAAGGTCGCCATGAGTGTTGACTGTTGGAATATCACCTTGGGAATTTAGGCAATTGATTGAATTTTACATAGTAGACAGGACACAAAGTATAGAGGCTGGTTATTCATAGTCACTTAACAAAAGTAATGATAATTTATGTGATCACACGAGTAGGTTACAATATCAGTTATAGTGCAATGGACCAGTTGGTCTCAAGAATTGAATATAAAAGAGTTGATCGCAAGAGTTGATTGCCAGAGCTTGTGTAACTATTCAGTTCTTTTGACAACTTTTGTAATGACACACAATCTGATCACATTACTTAGGTCAGGCACACTGCTCCAACAATTGTTGGTTGAAAGGACTCTATGGAGAAGACAATGCAACAAAATGTGTGCAGGAAATCATTTTTAATGAACTCTGTTTGCCACTGACAATGTGCAGACAGTATCTTGCATGAAGAGCTCACAGAAAGTGGAGATGAATTTATCGCAGTGTGTTCCTCACTTAAGTTGATCACGTGTTCATTAAAATAGTTTATTGCAAATGTTTTTGTTTGTACTACACAGTGGCAGATTCTAGGTGCTATAATCATACATTTTCTTACCTCAGCCCCACCATAGTTGGGGCTGAGGTGGTCTACACCCCTTATCTCTCAAAATCCCTCCCTGGGCCCTCTACAGTATTTCGAATTCATTGACCTGCCACTGCCACAGTACAAAATGTTATCTGGTCAATATTGGTTTATATAAAATTTTTAGATTTAGGTCGCTAATAATATGTTTAAGATAAAGCCGTATGGGGACCAAGGAGATGCTTTTATTTTTATATAGCTAAATTTTGATTATTTGCGTAACCTTAAATTGCTTTTATGTCCTGTAATAAAAATTTAAAAAAATATTGCAAATGAAAACGACTCTTGTGTCATTACACGCATACATATGAGTTGATCATGTTGCCCATGTGTGCTTATTAATTATGAAGGTGTTGTTTTACGCGACGACGCGACACTGAAATGGATTCAGTCATTCGTGACCATCCTGTGTGCTCTGTACATCATTTGCGGAGATGGCTCATATGCAGATGACAAAGGCAGTATTGTTCTGGTCGTGCGTGCGCAGTGGTAAAATTCTACTTAACAAGACGACCAGATGAATAGAAAACTGGTAGGTAACTTAACAAATTGACAAGTTACCACGATACACCTGCTTTTTCATTTTTATTACTAAATTTCAAATTGGCGCATACATTTTGACTATTAGAAAGTATAATACATACTCCAAGTATTGAAATACACGCCATCGTGTTGGGATTCAATATTTCGACATTAATTATGTCATCATCAGGAATGAAAATACTGTATTATCCATATTAGCAAGCTTATATGCACTAGTACCAATAGTGTTTAACCAATCAAAACATTACCTCTAGTAGGTGACATAGCAGTGATTTAAACAAAAGATCAAAGCATTCTTACTCGAATGATCAAAGATACCTACAAAAACAAAGAAAGCTCTTTTGAAGCTCTGAGCCCATTGTTAAGCAAAGGGTGTGTAGTCTACGTATAGCGAACGCTTCTTTAAACAATATGATAGACCAATTTCGGGAGCTGTCAATAATGTTAGTACTAGAAAATATTAAACCTAATCTATTACTTACATTACAGACGACATTATCATTTTCAAGTATACCCTGTAATCCTAAAAACATATTGGAATGCCTCACATTTTTTAACATGATAAAATATAACACTATCAGATCATGAAGAATGTTCTTTTAAGTCTAGTTATTAAGCACCTATCTGTCTTACCAATATAATCACTATTGCAGCCTGGACATTTAAAATGATAGACAACAGAACTTCTGTACTCCTTAGGGGTTTGATCCTTAGTAGATATAAAATGAGAAACATTTTTATACTGCCATAAAGTTATGAATTTTACCTCTTTAATTAAGTGTTTCTTTACCTTATTTAAACATATACGTGAAATGAACTCACCTAATTTTCCTAGATATGGCAATCTAACCCAAATCTTAATCAAGATATCATCAGTATGCCTGTGTATACATTTAGGTTCATTTAATTTCTTAAGTACATTATTAACAACTTTTAAAGGGTACCCATTCCAAGACATAAACTTCCTGATGTTACTAAACTAAGCTTGGGAACAATAGACTCTTCTAGTTCAGTCATTAAAATATTAGCTAAAACTCAGGGGGCCAAGAGGCGAACCCATTATTACATGTAAATACAGTTTTAGTACAGCAATCTCTAAATATATCTAAGAAAACCAGGTGAGTTCACAAGCCTACCTTCGGACACTATTTAATAGAAATGAACTAACTGAAACTGAATACAAAGAAATTCGTCCAGTATCAACCATGCCTGCTAGAGCCCATGGACTACCTAAATTACATAAAGATTTTGATAATATTCAACCCCAAAGACCTATTATTGACACGACCGGTAGCCTACTTGTTATTATTCAGTAGCCAAGTTCTTATCAAACTTATTAGGCCCTCTAACGGTTAATGATTTTGTCTTTAAAGATTCTTTTGATGCTGCTGACCGCATTAAAGCTATACCAAACAATTTATATAATTTAGGTTACCGATTTGTATCTTTTGATGTTGAATCTCTGTTTAAAAATGTTCCCCTTACTAAGGTAATTAATATAATTCTTGATAGGGTTTACAATAAGAAACTGATATCTACTAACCATAATAAAAATTTGCTAAGGAAACTACTGTACTTAGAGATTGCTGTACTAAAACTGTATTTACATGTAATAATGAATTCTATAAACAAACTGATGGTGTCTCAATGGGTTCGCCTCTTGGCCCAGTTTTAGCTAATATTTTTAATGACTGAACTAGAAGGGTCTATTGTTCCCAAACTTATTGAATCAGGTACTATTAAGTTTTATACTCGTTTTGTTGACGACACGCTAGTATTAGCTAAGCCCAATGATTTCCGCAAATTCTAAGCTACTTTAATGTTTATCATAGACAGATAAATTTTACTTTTGAATCATTTGAAAACAGTGACACAGTACACTTTCTGGATTTACAATTTAACAACAGTGTAGGAAGCATGAGTATATATCGTAAAAATACACATAAAGGTCAATATGTCCATTATGATAGCTTTGCTCCATGGAACCATAAGATCTCCTGGATTCGTAGTTTAGTTTCTAGAGCCCACAGATTGTGTACTCCTGATAAACTTCAAACAGAGCTTAGTAACATCAGGAAGTTTTTGTCTTGGAATGGGTACCCTTTAAAAGTTGTTAATAATGTACTTAAGAAATTAAATGAACCTAAATGTATACATAGGCCTACTGATGATAGCTTGATTAAGATTTGGGTTAGATTGACATATCTAGGAAAACCAGGTGAGTTCATTTTACGTAGATGTTTAAATAAGGTAAAGAAACACTTAATTAAAGAGGTAAAATTCATAACTTTATGGCAGTATAAAAATGTTTCTCAGTTTATATCTACTAAGGATCAAACCCCTAAGGAGTATAGAAGTTCTGTTGTCTATCATTTTAAATGTCCAGGCTGCAATAGTGATTATATTGGTAAGACAGATAGGTGCTTAATAACTAGACTTAAAGAACATTCTTCACGATCTGATAGTGTTATATTTGATCATGTTAAAAACTGTGAGGCATTCCAATATGTTTTAGGATTACAGAATATACTTGAAAATGATAATGTCGTCTGTAATGTAAGTAATAAATTAGGTTTAATATTTTCTAGTACTAACATTATTGACAGCTCCCGAAATTCTAAGCTACTTTAATGTTTTTCATAGACAGATAAATTTTACTTTTGAATCATTTGAAAACAGTGACACAGTACACTTTCTGGATTTACAATTTAACAACAGTGTAGGAAGAATGAGTATATATCGTAAAAATATGGCACATACAGGTCAATATGTCCATTATGATAGCTTTGCTCCATGGAACCATAAGATCTCCTGGATTCGTAGTTTAGTTTCTAGAGCCCACAGATTGTGTACTCCTGATAAACTTCAAACAGAGCTTAGTAACATCAGGAAGTTTATGTCTTGGAATGGGTACC